CCCCTCGACGAACCCTATATTACGCCAGCGAGTGTCTTATTAACAAACTTTCGCTTAACCATAATTAATTTTAGTCGGCCCATTTGAGGCGTGCATTAACTCAATTAAATCAGCACTTTCCAAAATAATGTCACGCATTAACTCATTCAAATTAAATCACTACTTACTAAAAGTTATCAGGCCCATTTTCAGTTTTTTCCTATGTTTCATTTTTTCTCATTTTTCTGCTCGACATAATGAGTTACCAAACAATGAAATCACAGTTTCCAAACAATAAAATTACAGTTTAGTGACAATCAATTCCAAATCCTATCTTTCCTAGCGCATTATCCAAAAAAAATAAACTTTTCTAGCGCATTGATCCTAACAACCAAATCTCTCTACTAAGGCAGAGGAAAAAAATTATATGAGACCAGGTCTCACGGTTAGCAGGTGAGACCCGTTCTGATGGATGACACGTGGCATTCACAAATCACAAAGCATCCCAATCTCTCTTCCTGGATAGGGGTGGGGAATGCTTTGTGATTTGTGAATGTCACGTATCATCCATCAGGATGGGTTTCGCGTGAGACGTGGTCTCATAGAATTCTTTTGCTAACGCAGACCTCTCCTTCCCTCAGGATAGTAGACCAAGATCCACATCGGTTTTCGAAGTACCAACCATGCATCCGTCAGCCTCTCGCCGTCACGCCGCCAAGCATCGTCGCTACCTGTGCTGCCCCACGGAACCAGAACGATCGAGGGTTTCGAGCAGAAACTGCAGATTCTATTCAATTGTTCTGTTGTTGCCAACTACCTCGATCCAGTGTGTTGGTCCATGAGGTGACTCTGGTGGCGGCGCCATAACCCGGCTGGAGACGGCAGCGGCGACACGTTCTTCTCTCCTCCTGTCGGCGCGAGCAGTTCGTCCCCATAGTCGGACCAGATCAAACGCTTCTTGCAACATCAATATCTTGCAATCCTCCCAACGGCAGTGGTAGCGGATTGACCTGGTCTCAACGGCAGCAACATCACAACGACCCAGTATGCTCTTCCACCTCTCCCTCTCTTTAATTTTTTACTAGGATTCTTATTATTCTGTGTGTCTGCATCTGCGTGCCATTTAGGATTCTTGTCTATCTAGATCTTGGTATATAACTGCAGCAACTCATAAGTCTGGGAGGCCAAGAAAGAAGACATAGGTACAGAAGAAGAGGCTTTATTATAAATATTTTCTAAGACCAGCTGCAGTCTGAATGAGACTATTGAGGGCCTTATTCTGCACCGCCACTTCACTAGGGAATACAGTCATCATCGACATAGTTTCACTTGGAGAAAACTGTCTGACACTTTAGTATCATAGCCACCAAGGTAAATGGTCAAGTCTTGTGTTCTCATTGACCTGACTATTCAATCAGAGAGTGTTTTGTTGGCGATTTATAGCGAACCAAAAGAAAGAAGACAACAAATATGTGTTGGGTTATCTTGTTAACCTCACCATACAATTCCTTGTGGGTGGTCTTCGTTAAATTGAAAAGACTTTGGTAGTTAATTCATGCCATTGGTGGTGATGGCAGTCCAACGAAGTGCAATATGTACAAGTACAATTGAGCCAAAAAGGAAACTGGATGCCATCTGTACTAAAGCTAGATGTCTCATACTGTATATAAAACCGCCTCGGTGTTTTCTTCCTTGATTCGATTTTTTCTTTCTCTACTTCATTGATAAAATAAAGAGATAGATTTCACCCTTCTTTTATTGCCATTTTCACTCTGTTTTTTTACTGTGAAGTTGGCCGGGCATGTAAATATGAATCGCCACATAAAAAGATCAGCGGCATCTCATATTCTCGTTTAAGTGATGTACGTGTTCCAGACTATTTTTCAAGTTTCAGGTCAGAGTCTCTACTCTAAACCATAGTCACCGTGGATATGTAAGAGTGTGCAAGATTTTTGCGAGTGTTTTTTTTTTTTTGATATCACACAAATTGGTGGGTAAATGAAATATATAACACTGGTTCTATAATCCTTTTTTATGATTCTCTTTCGTTTCTTTTATTAAATATCTTATTATTATTCTGTGTACATATTTTAATAGGATGCCAAACATCCCAGAGTTTATCTATATTGTGTATTCCGCCAGATCTCCAAGAAATTGTGACATGTGTGCAGAACATAGATGCTTCGATTTTATCATATACACAATATGTTATACCTATTACTGATCCTTCCTTGACAAAAATATTTGAGGTATGATATAGTTTCCTATTACTGATTCGACGGCGCGGAGCAGTGGCAGCGGTAACATCTGTTGACCGATTTGGAGGGGAGCAGAATAACAGTGAGCAGCAAAGTGTGGACTGGTTCAACATCAGCCAACATAATCGCCCCAACATCAGCCAGACCGACTGGTTTGAGCTCCTTCCATGCCTCCCTAACTATCTTGTGAGTTGATCTGTGATCGGAAAAAAAGTCCTAAAGGTTTAGAAGGACATGAGAGATTTTATTTTTCAGGTTTTGAATGCTAATACACGTTTCTAACTTATACAGTGCAAGCAGTTGAGTTGGCTTGAACTTTCCTGTACAACTGAAGGTCCTTCTCGAGCGTGTGCAGCTTGATGTAACATCATGCAGTTTGCGATGGGGAATCAGTGTTTAGTAGGAACAACTTAGTGCATATGTATTTTGTGTGTACTGACCTGATGCAAATATATTCATGTGTAATGCCAGACAAGGTACAAAGGTAATGTAGATTCTGTGTAATGATTCGATTTTCAAACAATATTGTGTGCCCTTAGAAAATTGGATATTCGCTAAGTTTGTAATGACAAGTAATGTATCTAAAGTGTACATTATCATACCAATATTGGTTTCCATATGATATTTTCCCCATTATCAATTACTCGAGGATGCGACTGAGTACAATACATGATGGTGACTTGGTCAAAATCCATTGCATCTTTTTTTGTCATCAACGACCAAAACTATTACAATTACGGTTACCTGCTTAAAATTCAAAATGGATGTGATGGTGGGACAGGGATCTCATACTGCAGTGGGCCCACATGTCAATGGCCCAACTACATCC